CCACCTTGCGGACGCTTTTCCTGCCCTCCACCCCTCCCTTTTGTTTTTCTTCCTCCACTTCCCCGCACCCGCCCCTTCTCTCCCCGCAGCGGGCGCCGGGCTGGTCTCCACCGTCCGCCCCGTTTACTCCTGATGAACTTTTCACTAGAGCGCAGCCTCCCAGGGCCGTTCGCACGCACTGTAAGCACCGTGTGAGGTTCACATGCAGCTGCTCTTTTAATTCCCACATCGCTTTCCCTTTGTCTCCTTTCTCTATGAGCTCAGCTTCAAGCCTTTCTGCAGCTGAGGCTGAGGCTGCGCGCAGCAGGGGAGACACGCGAGGCGCGATCATCCTAGAGCAGCGGATTCTGTTTCCTGTCTGGGAAGGCTCGGACCGTACAAAGGGGAGAAAAAAGTTTGTAAGAGAATTAAAAAAAAAAAAATTATCCAAAACGTTTTCTAATCGCGTCTCCCACTAAATCTTAGCTAAAAACAGAAAGCCTGGACTTTTTCTCGAAATAGGAGACCGAGTGGGAAAACTGTCCAGACATAGCGGTTTTATTAAAATTCAGTTTGCAAGTCGTCGCCAGCTGCAGCAGTTTCCTCATTCCGGGGAGGATTGTTTCTGAAATTCTGTAAACGTCTTTAATTGTTTCCAAGTTATTTAGCAATAGGAGTCCAATGTCTTGATGCTTTTGAATTGATATAAAATTTCTAGGTTGAGGTGGGAGGGCCGATTGAGCTAGGAGGTGAAAGTTGCAGTGAGGAGATTGCCACTGTGCTCCAGGCTGCCAGAGTGGAACCCAGTCAGAAAAAAAACAAAAAACAAAAAACTCGATTAATGTTGTGAACTGAACGCCAGCCCGGGAATCTCGTCCAGCGAGAGGGTCCCAAACCTGGAAGAGAGCGTGCGCCAGAAAAAAAGGAGAAAGAAAAGAGCAAGGTCTGGAGGACCACAGGCGCTGTGCCCATGCAGCAATTTTATTTTTGCAATAGGTTCCATTATATAGTTTTCTGCTTAATGTTGTTTACATCAGATCAAAATACTTAAGTCACAAGGTAAGCAAGTTAAGCCCACTAAGTAAGTTAAGCCCAGTAAGTAGGTTACGCCCAGTAAGTCAAGGTAAGTAAGTTACACACAATAAGTTACGCCCACTAAATACTTAAGTTAATATTTTACAACGAATGTATCAAGGATCCAAAATGTACACAATGAAGCAATAAACCATAAGGAGCTGAACGTGGACACATCGCCTCCCAAGTCCTCATATCCATAAAGTAATGTCTGTTAATTATTTTGAATAGCATAGTCCCTCTCTCGGTTCCTGCTTTCTCGACTCCCCCAACCGGGGATCTGTGGCCGGGCTCAAGCTCACCTTTTGGCGAGGCCCATTTTCTAGGGGCCTCACATGGGAGTGATCCCCACAGATCTCCCTCAGTAGATCTCCCTCAGATCAAAGATATGTAAAAAGCAATTTTTTGTTTTTTGATATGGAGTCTCTGTCACCCGGGCTGGAGTGCAGTGATGTGATCTGGGCTCACTGCAACCTCGGCCTCCCGGGTTCAAGCGATTCTGGTGCCTCAGCCTTCTGAATAGCTGGGACTACAGGCGGGCATCTTGACCCCAGGCTAATTTTTGTACTTTTAGTAGAGACAAATGGGGTTTCACCATGTTGATTAGGTTGGTCTTGAACTCCTGACCTCAGGTGATCTGCTGCCTTGGCCTTCCAAAGTGCTTGAATTACAGGCAAGAGCCACTGCACCCAGCCAGAAAAAAACAATTCTTATGCAGCAATATGCAGACCACAATTCTTTGAACCCTAAGGAATAGCCTGGGCGCAGTGGCTTACATCTGTAATCCTAGCACTTTGGGAGGCCAGAGAGAGACCAGCCTGGCCAACATGGTGAAACCCATCTCTACTAATAACACAAAAAAATTAGCTGGTCGTGGTGGTGCACACCTTTAATCCCAGCAACTGGGGAAGGCTGAGTCAGGAGAATCACTTGAACCCGGGAAATGGAGGTTGCAGTGAGTCCAGATAGCAGACTGCACTCCAGCCTGGGCGACAGAGCGAGACTCTGTGTCAAACAAACAAATTATACTTTCCATTTTCACTTCCTGGGTCTCCATACCACCCGCGGTGCATGTGTGAGCACGAGACAGGTAAAACGAAGAAAATAGAAAGAATTGGCTCGCTCAGGATTTCTTCAGTCGGAAGCTATAAGCCCGTTATCACATTAATGTGACCCGTAATCCTCTGTTCCTTTTTGCCATGTCATTGAAGAGCAAGACAGAAAGAGAAGAGCCGAAAGAAGAGAAAAGGAAAACCTAGATAATTTCATTTTGAATTCCTTAGTTTTCTGAGCAGTGTTTGCAGGGTGACCAAGCATGGAAGCATCTCCCTGATTTGACCTGTTCCTCGCCTTTTCTTTCCCATCTTTTGCCATGGAAAATTGGATCCTATTTTTAGACGTAAATTGCAGCAGAACTTGTGTTCGTGGGGTGGAGGGGAAGTGAGTGAATGACAGATGGTATTGAAGACTACAGAACTAGGCACTGGAAGATACACCGACCCTACAAATGACAGTTTCTGTATTTTGAAGAAATGACAAAAAGTATGTCTTCAGGGCAGCTGAAATAGCTTAGGTGGGAGAGTGTTAGACTGAAGAATTGAAGGTCCCTGGTTCAATCCTGGGTTTCAGCAGATGTTCTTTGGCTTTTGCATAATTGTCACTCCCTTATACGACACCTGCACACTGATCCCAGAGGGGTATTTATAACTCCCAATTTCTCTGCTGTCTTTTGAGAATTCTATAAAGGTCGTGTATGTATACACACACACACCCCACACTGTCCCTCCCCATTCCTCCACAACACCCCAGTGTGTGATGCTCCCCTCCCTGTGTCCATGTGTTCTTATTGTTCAACACCTGCCTATCAGTGAGAACATGCAGTGTTTGTTTTTCTGTTCTTGTGTCCGTTTGCTGAGAATGATGGTTTCCAGGTTCATCCATGTCCCTACAAAGGATATGAACTCATCGTTTTTTTGTGGCTGCATAATATTCCACGGTGTATATGTGCCACATTTTCCTTGTCCAGTCTATCATTGATGGGCATTTGGGTTGGTTCCAAGTCTTTGCTATTGTAAACAGTGCTGCAATAAATATACATGTGCATGTGTCTTTATGACAGAATGATTTATAATCCTTTGGGTATATACCCAGTAATGGGATTGCTGGGTCAAATGGAATTTCTATTTCTAGATCCTTGAGGAATCGCCACACTGTCTTCCACAATGGTTGAACTAATTTACACTCCCACCAACAGTGTAAAAGTGTTCCTATTTCTCCACATCCTCTCCAGCATCTGTTGTGTCCAGATTTTTTAATGATCGCCATTCTAACTGGCATGAGATGGTATCTCAATGTGGTTTTGATTTGCGTTTCTCTAATGACCAGTGATGATGGGCATTTTTTCATATGTTTCTTGGCCTCATAAATGTCTTCTTTTGGAAAGTGTTCATGCCCTTCACCTACTTTTAAATGGGTTTGTTTGTTTTTTCTTGTAAATCTGTTTCAGTTCTTTGTAGATTCTGGATATTAGCCTTTGGTCAGATGGGTAGATTGCAAAATTTTTCCCCATTCTGTTGGTTGCCAGTTCATTCTAATGACTGTTTCTTTTGCTGCACAGAAGCTCTGGAGTTTAATTAGATCCCATTTGTCTATTTTGGCTTTTGTTGCCAATGCTTTTGGTGTTGCCACTTCTGTAGTTTTAAATTTTCTCGTAGTCACGTTAAAAAAAATAAACAGGGAATATTTATTCTATATCATGTTTAAATAATTTAAACTTGTATTTTAGATTCCGGGGTATGTGCAGGTTTGTCGCATGGGTGTATGCTGCATGATGCTGGGGCTGGGCTGGGCTTAATCCCATCACTCAGGTAGTGAGCATAGCATCTTTTCAGCCTTTCCCTCCTCCTGCCTCTCCCTCTAGGAGTCCCCGGTGTTTACTGTTTCCATCTTTTACGTCCAGTTTTGACAATATAAGTAAATCACCTTGTATGTCCAGAACATTATTTTAAGTAATTCATCTTAAAATTATTACTGAGTTATTTTATATTCAAAAATGATATTACATCATTGAAATCTGGTATATATTTCACACAACACATCTTAACTTGGACTGGGAAATTTCAAGCATTCAATAGTCAATGTGCTAATGGTAACCATATTGGACAGTGCAGTTTTAAACAGATACTTTATATATTTTTAGGCTTTTGAAATTGAGTATATATGACATGAGGGTGCTCTGTCTTCAAAATTAAATCTTTAATTCCTGAGAAGAATGCTGTGTTAAATGAGCTCATCCTAGAAATTATACAGAAAAAATGTGTTTCAATCATGTAGATAATGTCAAGATAGATACAGATATTCAGTTATTTAAAATTTCAAGAACTATTTAGGAGCAAACTTGCTTGTTTCCTACAAATATCATGAACAAGTTTGTAATTCCCAAATCTAAAAGGACACTTGTTAGTGTTTACCCACCTCCATGCAACGTGTCCACTCTTACTAATACTCACAAGTCCCAGGCTGGAGGCAGAGTCAGTTGCCTGAGATCTCTGTGCGACAACCTCACAAGTGTGCCCCACAGATATTCTAAATTTCACATGACCCCAACTAACTCACCTCCATCTTCCAATCTTTCTCCCACTCCTAAAAGAGTTGATAAAACCTTCCCTTTTCTGCACCTGCTTGTGTTTGGCAATAGCATGTTGGTTTTTCTGAACCATTCTTCAATCCCGTTTCTATTTATATTTCATCTGTCTCTCATAGTCATCCCTTCTCTGCACCCCCAAAGCTGGTTTTCATTCGTGCCTAATGAATTCCCTCCCCTCCTCTCACCTCCCATCCCCTTTTCTCTCTCTCTCTCTCTTCCCTTTTCTTCCTTCCTTCCCTTCCCCCCTTCCCACTTTCTCTTTTGCTTGCTTTTCTCACTCCATTGGCCAGGCTGGAGGCCAGTGGCACCGTCACAGCTCCCTACAACCACCAACCCCCGAGCTCAAGCGATGCTCCTGCCTCTGGAGTAGCTGTGAGTTCAGGCGTGAGATGCCACGCCAGGTAGGGACCGTTATGAAAAAATACTGAGTGCAGCCCTCTCAGGTTTTCTTCTGATTGTGGCTTTCCTCCATCAGATCTTAACCTTAATATTCGCATTGAGCAAACAACAAATATGAAGCGTTTTAGGCAGGGAAAGGCCGAATTTCAGTGCCTTTGTGTCATATCTGGAAGAAATCAAAAGAAACGAAAACCAGAAGTTGATTCTTTCCAAGCATAATAGAAGGAGACCCTAAGAACTCAACGTCTGGAAGCCACGATGGAAACTTCTTGTGGTTATTATCTGACACTTTTCCAGTCTTTTGCTTTTCAAGTCCTACGCAGTATTCTGAAGAATGTGTATCTCGCATTAGTACCAAGTGTCTCCTGCTCAGAGCAGTCTCCATGCTCCAAAATACTGACCACTACCACCAGCATGTTCAGGGAGCGGCTCAGAAAATGAAAGTTGCCTCCTGAAAATTACTACAAAAAGGCCTTTCAGGAAGGGGGTGTAGCTCAGCGGTAGAGCACATGCTTTGCATGTATGAAGCCCCGGGTTCGATCCCCGGCACCTCCAGCTGGTGATTTTGCTCTGACAGTGTTCAATCCTAATTCTCAAGCAACGGACTTCTGCCTCCTAACATTTTTCTATCCTGTTTTCTGCTCATATCGAGAGTACAAATGTGGCCCAATGCGTTGCCTTGAACTGTCTCCAATCTCTATGTTGTGCGCCTCGACGTCACCTAAGGCGATTGTGACGGCAGAAGGAAGACAAAAAAGAAATGAGGAGGAAAAAAGAACGGGAGCCCAACGGGGTCTCTTGGACCCAAACAAGAGCCTGCACATCCGCAGGCGGCTCGCGTTCGCTCCCATTCTGTACTATGATAAAAGAGACGGAAAGACAAAGAAGAAGAAGGGAGAAAAATGCCCCGCGGACGCTTTTTTTTTTTTAAGTTATTTTTGTTTTCTGGGCCGAAGAGCAGAGTGAAAGCATCTGTCCACCGATTTCTCCACCTGCGCAGAGAGCCAGACACAAGTGCCATCCAGTGCTGAGACAGGGACAGCGCAGCTCTCCAGCCGCTGGATATGGGAGGGGAAGGACGCCGGACAATCGACCGAAGACTGCCGGGGAATCAGAGGCCTGCAACATGCGAGGGGCAGAAACCAACACGGATCAACATCCCCTACTCATATTCCGTAAGACTGACTCATATTACCGTATTTCCTCAGCCACTCCATTTTCCTCGATAAAATAAAACATTGCCTGGGTACTTCTGGTAACAGCAAACGGAGGCCCCACACGAAAAAGTAGGAAAAGATTTTCTGTCACAATGGAAAATACGTGCAGAGTAACAGGTGAGTGGATCGCAGGTGGGCTGGGCACTTCCTCTGGTGGAAAAAAAGCAAACAAACGTTTCATGTTTTTTTCCGATTCATCCAATTACATCTGCTTTTTTTTTTTTTTTTTTTTTTGAAGCTGGAACTCCCAAGAAATCCTGTGCACTCATGGTACCTTTGAAGGGTTTCCAGTGGTGTATGGTTTCCAAGGTACTGTTCTCTCTGTACAAATTTGCTGTTGTATTAAAGTGTCTCTGAGAGGCAAGAGGGTAGGAAGTTTGTTCCCAGTCCACCAAGCTAACACTCTATCGGGCTAGCATATCTTTCCTTCTTGATTCTTTTGTCCAGTGAAAATGTGTATAACCAGCATCCACGAGGGATAATCAGAAAATTGGCAAGAGAATGTTGTTTGTCGGGGCACACTGAAATGACAGAATGGAAGTATCAGGAAGTCTTAACAGGATGGGGAGTCGAGGTTGGGGTGAGTTGATCTTGGGCCGACCACAAATCAGGAGCAGTGCCTTTCTTTTTACCACTAAACCACCTTCCTTTTGATGTAGCCGTGCCTGCAACAGGAAGGGCTTCATGTAGGGAATTAACAGTGGAACTGGAAGCACACAGGGATCATCTTGACACAAAGTGCAGACTCAGACAATGGTGGTCACCAAAGGGTTTTCAGAAGGCTTGCTTTTCCCGCGGGGGTATAGCTCAGTGGTAGAGCGCGTGCTTAGCATGCACGAGGTCCTGGGTTCAATCCCCAGTACCTCCATTCTTGTTTTCTTCCGCAGGACACCAGTAAGAAGAGGTCCACGATATTCCCCAACTTTAAAATTTTCTTTGTGTCAAGGTGAATTATGTTGACCTCCATTTCTCTGTCATCCAGAGGGTGATTCGTGTTTATCCACTTGAGGCTATTTTCTGCTTAGGATTATCCACCTATACTTTCTAAGCAGTCCCAGCAGTCGTTAACATGGACCAGCACAAGGGAAGCAAATAGTATTCTTGGCCTCCAGCCAATTTCTAGTTGTAAATAAAATCATCAAAAACCATAGAACTGCGTGGCCCAAGTCTGATTTCAGGTGGGAAGCTAAAAGGCTCAAGTCCTTTTCTGTTTCTTCTAACTCCTCCTAACCAGGGTGCAGAAGCCCTGCAAGCTTTCCCTAAAAGATTTCACTGCCAGTGGTTGATGATTTGATGTGTTTGGTGGTCGCTTTTTCCATTAGAGACCTACAAACTCGGAACTTAAACCATTTAACCACAAACACATGGCAAATGATGAAAAGATAGCGGTTACCTCCGCTGAAATTTAGTGGAAGTAACAAGTATTTCTCTGGGTCCTCTGAGGAACTTTCTGGTCTGAGAAGCACACTCTGAACTCCAGGGACCAAGATCAGGATAGGACAAAGCTCATTTCTTTGTTTCTCATAAATAAAAGTAATGAACCTTTATTCTTCCCATCCCAATGGATCCTTTTCTACCTCACTGTGCTTACTCTGCAGGAATAACCTCCTTTAAAGCTACGGATAACCCACACCTGCAGATTAGAGCTCTGTGTGGTATCACAGCGCTAAGCAGAAATGCACAGGGAAATACTCTGCAAGCATCTTAGTATCATCTTGTTAAAAAAAATAAATCTGCTTTTATTTTCAGCTCTATTTCGTGCCAACAAAGGGGAAAAAATAAGTTAGTAAACACCCAGAAGGCAGAAAAGCCACCTCTCTCCATCTGCAGAAGCCAAGCAAGCGGGTGGGCTTCCGTAGCATCCTCTCTTTCACTCACGTTCTAAACGCTGTAACTTCCACCGCCTGCCAGGGGGTAACGGCGTCGCTAAACTCAATCTGAGCTCAACCCACCCGACTAGGGACGGGGTCCCCTATTTGCCTCTGCACCTGTCCTAGGACCGCGGAGACGCTGGCTGCACACGCACTTGACACCGACTGCCCCGACTCCGCCCCTGCAGAGGCCTCTGGAGCCGAGCGCTGGACGCGAGCAGCAAAGGAGCTCGTTGCAAACGGCAGGAGTTTCTTCGCGCGGCGCCGGCTTTTAATCTCTCACACATTCTGGGAGAAATACGTGGAGCAAACAAACGGGAACTTTCATTCCCACCGTTTGCATTTGGAGCTAAAGCTAATACAATGAAGCGTTTCCACGGCCACGCTCAGTCTCGAAGCTGCGGGCAGATCCGCGGCTAACGCTCCACGCGGCACGCGGGAAATCGGGAAATCGGGAAATCCCAGCGGCTCCCTCAGAAGCTCCAGGATCGCCGGTTCCCGGACCGAAAATAAAAACCCCACATCACGGGCGTCCCCAAAGTGCAGCCGCGGAAAGCGCGAGGCGGTCCCGAAGCCCTGACAGCCGGCGCCAAGCGAACCAGGCCCCTTCCGGGCCGAGCCGCCTCCCTAGGGACAGAAAGGAGCGTCTCTTCCCTCCCGTCCAGAGAAGCGACGGCGACACGCGGCGCTCACACTCGCGCTGCCATCCCGTCCGGCCGAGTCCGAACCACGTTGAGGACGCTTTTCCTGCCCTCCACCCCTCCCTTTTGTTTTTCTTCCTCCACTTCCCCGCACCCGCCCCTTCTCTCCCCGCAGCGGGCGCCGGGCTGGTCTCCACCGTCCGCCCCGTTTACTCCTGATGAACTTTTCACTAGAGCGCAGCCTCCCAGGGCCGTTCGCACGCACTGTAAGCACCGTGTGAGGTTCACATGCAGCTGCTCTTTTAATTCGCGCATCGCTTTCCCTTTGTCTCCTTTCTCTATGAGCTCAGCTTCAAGCCTTTCTGCAGCTGAGGCTGAGGCTGCGCGCAGCAGGGGAGACACGCGAGGCGCGATCATCCTAGAGCAGCGGATTCTGTTTCCTGTCTGGGAAGGCTCAGACCGTACAAAGGGGAGAAAAAAGTTTGTAAGAGAATTAAAAAAAAAAAAATTATCCAAAACGTTTTCTAATCGCGTCTCCCACTAAATCTTAGCTAAAAACAGAAAGCCTGGACTTTTTCTCGAAATAGGAGACCGAGTGGGAAAACTGTCCAGACATAGCGGTTTTATTAAAATTCAGTTTGCAAGTCGTCGCCAGCTGCAGCAGTTTCCTCATTCCGGGGAGGATTATTTCTGAAATTCTGTAAACGTCTTTAATTGTTTCCAAGTTATTTAGCAATAGGAGTCCAATGTCTTGACGCTTTTGAATTGATATAAAATTTCTAGGTTGAGGTGGGAGGGTCGATTCAGCTAGGAGGTGAAAGTTGCAGTGAGGAGATTGCCACTGTGCTCCAGGCTGCCAGAGTGGAACCCAGTCAGAAAAAAAACAAAAAACAAAAAACAAAAAACTCGATTAATGTTGTGAACTGAACGCCAGCCCGGGAATCTCGTCCAGCGAGAGGGTCCCAAACCTGGAAGAGAGCGTGCGCCGGAAAAAAAGGAGAAAGAAAAGAGCAAGGTCTGGAGGGCCACAGGCGCTATGCCCATGCAGCAATTTTATTTTTGCAATAGGTTCCATTATATAGTTTTCTGCTTAATGTAGTTTACATCAGATCAAAATACTTAAGTCACAAGGTAAGCAAGTCACAAGGTAAGCCCACTAAGTAAGTTAAGCCCAGTAAGTAGGTTACGCCCAGTAAGTCAAGGTAAGTAAGTTACACCCAGAAAGTTACGCCCACTAAATATTTAAGTTAATATTTTACAACGAATGTATCAAGGATCCAAAATGTACACAATGAAGCAATAAACCATAAGGAGCTGAACGTGGACACATCGCCTCCCAAGTCCTCATATCCATAAAGTAATGTCTGTTAATTATTTTGAATAGCATAGTCCCTCTCTCGGTTCCTGCTTTCTCGGCTCCCCCAACCGGGGATCTGTGTCCGGGCTCAAGCTCACCTTTTGGCGAGGCCCATTTTCTAGGGGCCTCACATGGGAGCGATCCCCACAGATCTCCCTCAGTAGATCTCCCTCAGATCAAAGATATGTAAAAAGCAATTTTTTGTTTTTTGATATGGAGTCTCTGTCACCCGGGCTGGAGTGCAGTGATGTGATCTGGGCTCACTGCAACCTCGGCCTCCCGGGTTCAAGAGATGCTGGTGCCTCAGCCTTCTGAATAGCTGGGACTACAGGCGGGCATCTCGACCCCAGGCTAATTTTTGTACTTTTAGTAGAGACAAATGGGGTTTCACCATGTTGATTAGGTTGGTCTTGAACTCCTGACCTCAGGTGATCTGCTGCCTTGGCCTTCCAAAGTGCTGGAATTACAGGCAAGAGCCACTGCACCCAGCCAGAAAAAAACAATTCTTATGCACCAGTATGAAGACCACAATTCTTTGAACCCTAAGGAATAGCCTGGGCGCAGTGGCTTACATCTGTAATCCTAGCACTTTGGGAGGCCAGAGAGAGACCAGCCTGGCCAACATGGTGAAACCCATCTCTACTAATAACACAAAAAAATTAGCTGGTCGTGGTGGTGCACGCCTTTAATCCCAGCAACTGGGGAAGGCTGAGCCAGGAGAATCACTTGAACCCGGGAAATGGAGGTTGCAGTGAGTCCAGATAGCAGACTGCACTCCAGCCTGGGTGACAGAGCGAGACTCTGTGTCAAACAAACAAATTATACTTTCCATTTTCACTTCCTGGGTCTCCATACCACCCGCGGTGCATGTGTGAGCACGAGACAGGTAAAACGAAGAAAATAGAAAGAATTGGCTCGCTCAGGATTTCTTCAGTCGGAAGCTATAAGCCCGTTATCACATTAATGTGACCCGTAATCCTCTGTTCCTTTTTGCCATGTCATTGAAGAGCAAGACAGAAAGAGAAGAGCCGAAAGAAGAGAAAAGGAAAACCTAGATAATTTCATTTTGAATTCCTTAGTTTTCTGAGCAGTGTTTGCAGGGTGACCAAGCATGGAAGCATCTCCCTGATTTGACCTGTTCCTCGCCTTTTCTTTCCCATCTTTTGCCATGGAAAATTGGATCCTATTTTTAGACGTAAATTGCAGCAGAACTTGTGTTCGTGGGGTGGAGGGGAAGTGAGTGAATGACAGATGGTATTGAAGACTACAGAACTAGGCACTGGAAGATACACCGACCCTACAAATGACAGTTTCTGTATTTTGAAGAAATGACAAAAAGTATGTCTTCAGGGCAGCTGAAATAGCTTAGGTGGGAGAGTGTTAGACTGAAGAATTGAAGGTCCCTGGTTCAATCCTGGGTTTCAGCAGATGTTCTTTGGCTTTTGCATAATTGTCACTCCCTTATACGACACCTGCACACTGATCCCAGAGGGGTATTTATAACTCCCAATTTCTCTGCTGTCTTTTGAGAATTCTATAAAGGTCGTGTATGTATACACACACACACCCCACACTGTCCCTCCCCATTCCTCCACAACACCCCAGTGTGTGATGCTCCCCTCCCTGTGTCCATGTGTTCTTATTGTTCAACACCTGCCTATCAGTGAGAACATGCAGTGTTTGTTTTTCTGTTCTTGTGTCCGTTTGCTGAGAATGATGGTTTCCAGGTTCATCCATGTCCCTACAAAGGATATGAACTCATCGTTTTTTTGTGGCTGCATAATATTCCACGGTGTATATGTGCCACATTTTCCTTGTCCAGTCTATCATTGATGGGCATTTGGGTTGGTTCCAAGTCTTTGCTATTGTAAACAGTGCTGCAATAAATATACATGTGCATGTGTCTTTATGACAGAATGATTTATAATCCTTTGGGTATATACCCAGTAATGGGATTGCTGGGTCAAATGGAATTTCTATTTCTAGATCCTTGAGGAATCGCCACACTGTCTTCCACAATGGTTGAACTAATTTACACTCCCACCAACAGTGTAAAAGTGTTCCTATTTCTCCACATCCTCTCCAGCATCTGTTGTGTCCAGATTTTTTAATGATCGCCATTCTAACTGGCATGAGATGGTATCTCAATGTGGTTTTGATTTGCGTTTCTCTAATGACCAGTGATGATGGGCATTTTTTCATATGTTTCTTGGCCTCATAAATGTCTTCTTTTGGAAAGTGTTCATGCCCTTCACCTACTTTTAAATGGGTTTGTTTGTTTTTTCTTGTAAATCTGTTTCAGTTCTTTGTAGATTCTGGATATTAGCCTTTGGTCAGATGGGTAGATTGCAAAATTTTTCCCCATTCTGTTGGTTGCCAGTTCATTCTAATGACTGTTTCTTTTGCTGCACAGAAGCTCTGGAGTTTAATTAGATCCCATTTGTCTATTTTGGCTTTTGTTGCCAATGCTTTTGGTGTTGCCACTTCTGTAGTTTTAAATTTTCTCGTAGTCACGTTAAAAAAAATAAACAGGGAATATTTATTCTATATCATGTTTAAATAATTTAAACTTGTATTTTAGATTCCGGGGTATGTGCAGGTTTGTCGCATGGGTGTATGCTGCATGATGCTGGGGCTGGGCTGGGCTTAATCCCATCACTCAGGTAGTGAGCATAGCATCTTTTCAGCCTTTCCCTCCTCCTGCCTCTCCCTCTAGGAGTCCCCGGTGTTTACTGTTTCCATCTTTTACGTCCAGTTTTGACAATATAAGTAAATCACCTTGTATGTCCAAAACATTATTTTAAGTAATTCATCTTAAAATTATTACTGAGTTATTTTATATTCAAAAATGATATTACATCATTGAAATCTGGTATATATTTCACACAACACATCTTAACTTGGACTGGGAAATTTCAAGCATTCAATAGTCAATGTGCTAATGGTAACCATATTGGACAGTGCAGTTTTAAACAGATACTTTATATATTTTTAGGCTTTTGAAATTGAGTATATATGACATGAGGGTGCTCTGTCTTCAAAATTAAATCTTTAATTCCTGAGAAGAATGCTGTGTTAAATGAGCTCATCCTAGAAATTATACAGAAAAAATGTGTTTCAATCATGTAGATAATGTCAAGATAGATACAGATATTCAGTTATTTAAAATTTCAAGAACTATTTAGGAGCAAACTTGCTTGTTTCCTACAAATATCATGAACAAGTTTGTAATTCCCAAATCTAAAAGGACACTTGTTAGTGTTTACCCACCTCCATGCAACGTGTCCACTCTTACTAATACTCACAAGTCCCAGGCTGGAGGCAGAGTCAGTTGCCTGAGATCTCTGTGCGACAACCTCACAAGTGTGCCCCACAGATATTCTAAATTTCACATGACCCCAACTAACTCACCTCCATCTTCCAATCTTTCTCCCACTCCTAAAAGAGTTGATAAAACCTTCCCTTTTCTGCACCTGCTTGTGTTTGGCAATAGCATGTTGGTTTTTCTGAACCATTCTTCAATCCCGTTTCTATTTATATTTCATCTGTCTCTCATAGTCATCCCTTCTCTGCACCCCCAAAGCTGGTTTTCATTCGTGCCTAATGAATTCCCTCCCCTCCTCTCACCTCCCATCCCCTTTTCTCTCTCTCTCTCTCTTCCCTTTTCTTCCTTCCTTCCCTTCCCCCCCTTCCCACTTTCTCTTTTGCTTGCTTTTCTCACTCCATTGGCCAGGCTGGAGGCCAGTGGCACCGTCACAGCTCCCTACAACCACCAACCCCCGAGCTCAAGCGATGCTCCTGCCTCTGGAGTAGCTGTGAGTTCAGGCGTGAGATGCCACGCCAGGTAGGGACCGTTATGAAAAAATACTGAGTGCAGCCCTCTCAGGTTTTCTTCTGATTGTGGCTTTCCTCCATCAGATCTTAACCTTAATATTCGCATTGAGCAAACAACAAATATGAAGCGTTTTAGGCAGGGAAAGGCCGAATTTCAGTGCCTTTGTGTCATATCTGGAAGAAATCAAAAGAAACGAAAACCAGAAGTTGATTCTTTCCAAGCATAATAGAAGGAGACCCTAAGAACTCAACGTCTGGAAGCCACGATGGAAACTTCTTGTGGTTATTATCTGACACTTTTCCAGTCTTTTGCTTTTCAAGTCCTACGCAGTATTCTGAAGAATGTGTATCTCGCATTAGTACCAAGTGTCTCCTGCTCAGAGCAGTCTCCATGCTCCAAAATACTGACCACTACCACCAGCATGTTCAGGGAGCGGCTCAGAAAATGAAAGTTGCCTCCTGAAAATTACTACAAAAAGGCCTTTCAGGAAGGGGGTGTAGCTCAGCGGTAGAGCACATGCTTTGCATGTATGAAGCCCCGGGTTCGATCCCCGGCACCTCCAGCTGGTGATTTTGCTCTGACAGTGTTCAATCCTAATTCTCAAGCAACGGACTTCTGCCTCCTAACATTTTTCTATCCTGTTTTCTGCTCATATCGAGAGTACAAATGTGGCCCAATGCGTTGCCTTGAACTGTCTCCAATCTCTATGTTGTGCGCCTCGACGTCACCTAAGGCGATTGTGACGGCAGAAGGAAGACAAAAAAGAAATGAGGAGGAAAAAAGAACGGGAGCCCAACGGGGTCTCTTGGACCCAAACAAGAGCCTGCACATCCGCAGGCGGCTCGCGTTCGCTCCCATTCTGTACTATGATAAAAGAGACGGAAAGACAAAGAAGAAGAAGGGAGAAAAATGCCCCGCGGACGCTTTTTTTTTTTTTTTTTAAGTTATTTTTGTTTTCTGGGCCGAAGAGCAGAGTGAAAGCATCTGTCCACCGATTTCTCCACCTGCGCAGAGAGCCAGACACAAGTGCCATCCAGTGCTGAGACAGGGACAGCGCAGCTCTCCAGCCGCTGGATATGGGAGGGGAAGGACGCCGGACAATCGACCGAAGACTGCCGGGGAATCAGAGGCCTGCAACATGCGAGGGGCAGAAACCAACACGGATCAACATCCCCTACTCATATTCCGTAAGACTGACTCATATTACCGTATTTCCTCAGCCACTCCATTTTCCTCGATAAAATAAAACATTGCCTGGGTACTTCTGGTAACAGCAAACGGAGGCCCCACACGAAAAAGTAGGAAAAGATTTTCTGTCACAATGGAAAATACGTGCAGAGTAACAGGTGAGTGGATCGCAGGTGGGCTGGGCACTTCCTCTGGTGGAAAAAAAGCAAACAAACGTTTCATGTTTTTTTCCGATTCATCCAATTACATCTGCTTTTTTTTTTTTTTTTTTTTTTTTGAAGCTGGAACTCCCAAGAAATCCTGTGCACTCATGGTACCTTTGAAGGGTTTCCAGTGGTGTATGGTTTCCAAGGTACTGTTCTCTCTGTACAAATTTGCTGTTGTATTAAAGTGTCTCTGAGAGGCAAGAGGGTAGGAAGTTTGTTCCCAGTCCACCAAGCTAACACTCTATCGGGCTAGCATATCTTTCCTTCTTGATTCTTTTGTCCAGTGAAAATGTGTATAACCAGCATCCACGAGGGATAATCAGAAAATTGGCAAGAGAATGTTGTTTGTCGGGGCACACTGAAATGACAGAATGGAAGTATCAGGAAGTCTTAACAGGATGGGGAGTCGAGGTTGGGGTGAGTTGATCTTGGGCCGACCACAAATCAGGAGCAGTGCCTTTCTTTTTACCACTAAACCACCTTCCTTTTGATGTAGCCGTGCCTGCAACAGGAAGGGCTTCATGTAGGGAATTAACAGTGGAACTGGAAGCACACAGGGATCATCTTGACACAAAGTGCAGACTCAGACAATGGTGGTCACCAAAGGGTTTTCAGAAGGCTTGCTTTTCCCGCGGGGGTATAGCTCAGTGGTAGAGCGCGTGCTTAGCATGCACGAGGTCCTGGGTTCAATCCCCAGTACCTCCATTCTTGTTTTCTTCCGCAGGACACCAGTAAGAAGAGGTCCACGATATTCCCCAACTTTAAAATTTTCTTTGTGTCAAGGTGAATTATGTTGACCTCCATTTCTCTGTCATCCAGAGGGTGATTCGTGTTTATCCACTTGAGGCTATTTTCTGCTTAGGATTATCCACCTATACTTTCTAAGCAGTCCCAGCAGTCGTTAACATGGACCAGCACAAGGGAAGCAAATAGTATTCTTGGCCTCCAGCCAATTTCTAGTTGTAAATAAAATCATCAAAAACCATAGAACTGCGTGGCCCAAGTCTGATTTCAGGTGGGAAGCTAAAAGGCTCAAGTCCTTTTCTGTTTCTTCTAACTCCTCCTAACCAGGGTGCAGAAGCCCTGCAAGCTTTCCCTAAAAGATTTCACTGCCAGTGGTTGATGATTTGATGTGTTTGGTGGTCGCTTTTTCCATTAGAGACCTACAAACTCGGAACTTAAACCATTTAACCACAAACACATGGCAAATGATGAAAAGATAGCGGTTACCTCCGCTGAAATTTAGTGGAAGTAACAAGTATTTCTCTGGGTCCTCTGAGGAACTTTCTGGTCTGAGAAGCACACTCTGAACTCCAGGGACCAAGATCAGGATAGGACAAAGCTCATTTCTTTGTTTCTCATAAATAAAAGTAATGAACCTTTATTCTTCCCATCCCAATGGATCCTTTTCTACCTCACTGTGCTTACTCTGCAGGAATAACCTCCTTTAAAGCTACGGATAACCCACACCTGCAGATTAGAGCTCTGTGTGGTATCACAGCGCTAAGCAGAAATGCACAGGGAAATACTCTGCAAGCATCTTAGTATCATCTTGTTAAAAAAAATAAATCTGCTTTTATTTTCAGCTCTATTTCGTGCCAACAAAGGGGAAAAAATAAGTTAGTAAACACCCAGAAGGCAGAAAAGCCACCTCTCTCCATCTGCAGAAGCCAAGCAAGCGGGTGGGCTTCCGTAGCATCCTCTCTTTCACTCACGTTCTAAACGCTGTAACTTCCACCGCCTGCCAGGGGGTAACGGCGTCGCTAAACTCAATCTGAGCTCAACCCACCCGACTAGGGACGGGGTCCCCTATTTGCCTCTGCACCTGTCCTAGGACCGCGGAGACGCTGGCTGCACACGCACTTGACACCGACTGCCCCGACTCCGCCCCTGCAGAGGCCTCTGGAGCCGAGCGCTGGACGCGAGCAGCAAAGGAGCTCGTTGCAAACGGCAGGAGTTTCTTCGCGCGGCGCCGGCTTTTAATCTCTCACACATTCTGGGAGAAATACGTGGAGCAAACAAACGGGAACTTTCATTCCCACCGTTTGCATTTGGAGCTAAAGCTAATACAATGAAGCGTTTCCACGGCCACGCTCAGTCTCGAAGCTGCGGGCAGATCCGCGGCTAACGCTCCACGCGGCACGCGGGAAATCGGGAAATCGGGAAATCCCAGCGGCTCCCTCAGAAGCTCCAGGATCGCCGGTTCCCGGACCGAAAATAAAAACCCCACATCACGGGCGTCCCCAAAGTGCAGCCGCGGAAAGCGCGAGGCGGTCCCGAAGCCCTGACAGCCGGCGCCAAGCGAACCAGGCCCCTTCCGGGCCGAGCCGCCTCCCTAGGGACAGAAAGGAGCGTCTCTTCCCTCCCGTCCAGAGAAGCGACGGCGACACGCGGCGCTCACACTCGCGCTGCCATCCCGTCCGGCCGAGTCCGAACCACGTTGAGGACGCTTTTCCTGCCCTCCACCCCTCCCTTTTGTTTTTCTTCCTCCACTTCCCCGCACCCGCCCCTTCTCTCCCCGCAGCGGGCCCCGGGCTGGTCTCCACCGTCCGCCCCGTTTACTCCTGATGAACTTTTCACTAGAGCGCAGCCTCCCAGGGCCGTTCGCACGCACTGTAAGCACCGTGTGAGGTTCACATGCAGCTGCTCTTTTAATTCCCACATCGCTTTCCCTTTCTCTCCTTTCTCTATGAGCTCAGCTTCAAGCCTTTCTGCAGCTGAGGCTGAGGCTGCGCGCAGCGGGGGAGACACGCGAGGCGCGATCATCCTAGAGCAGCGGATTCTGTTTCCTGTCTGGGAAGGCTCGGACCATACAAAGGGGAGAAAAAGTAAAAGTCTGTGAGATAATTTTTTAAAGGAAATTATCAAAAACCATTTTCTTATTGACGCTCCCATCACATTTTCGCTAAAACGGAAAGCCTGGACTCTCTCAGAATAGGAGACTGAGTTTGTAAAGTATCCGAACATAGGGACGGTTTTATTAAAATTCAGTTTGCAAGTCGTCGCCAGCTGCAGCAGTTTCCTCATTCCACAGAGAGTTGTTTCTGAAACTCTGTAAACGTCCGAAATTGTTTCCTCATTATTTAACAAGTCCAATGCCTTGGCACTTTTGAATTCATCTAAGAATTTCTAGGCTGAGGTGGGAGGATGGATTCAGCCGGGTAGGCAGAGGTTGCAGTGAGCCGACATTGCACCACCGCACTCCTGCCTGGGTAACAGAGAAGTGGAACCCTGTGTCTGTGGGTAACCCCCATACAGGCACCGAGGAAGGAGAGCTAAGCAGAATCCTGGCACAATGAAGGCCTGAGGAATATCTCAGTTTACAGTGTTACTACTCAGTTATTTCCTTTTATATAATCATATGTTAGTTTATAGAATTAGGGCTTGGCAAATACCTCAGTTTATAGTGTTACTACTCAGTTATTTCCATTTATATAATCCTCTCTATGTAATCATATGTTAGGTCATAGAATGAGTGCCTAAAGAATATCTTTCCACTAAGTCATCTCTCTCTCTCTCTCTCTCTCTCTCTCTCTCTATATATATATATATATATATATATATATAACTTTCTTAGTTCATAATCGGAGGAATGCATAGAATAGATACAGTACAGAGCATGAATTAAGGAATAAGCAGCTTATAGTCAGAGGAATGTCTAGAGCAGACACAATGCAGAGCCTGATTTTTTTTAAATTGCATTTTAGGTTTTGGGGTACATGTGAAGAACATGCAAGATAGTTGCATAGGTACACACGTGGCAGTGTGATTTGCTGCCTTCCTCCCCTTCACTTATATCTGGCATTTCTCCCCATGCTATCTCTCCCCAACTCTCCAACCCCCTCTGTCCCTCCTTTATTTCCCCCAACAGACCCCAAAGTGTAGTGCTCCCCTCCCTGTGTCCATGTGTTCTCATTTTTCAACACCCACCTATGAGTGAGAACATGCGGTATTTCATTTTCTGTTCTTGTGTCAGTTTACTGAGAATGATGGTCTCCAGGTCATCCAGGTCCCTACAAAGGGCACAAACTCATCATTTTTGATGGCTGCATAATATTCCATGGTGTATATGTGCCATATTTTCCCTGTCCAGTCTATCATCGATGGGCATTTGGGTTGGTTCCAGGTCTTTGCTAGTGTAAACAGTGCCACAGTGAACATTCGTGTGCATGTGTCCTTATAATCGAACGATTTATAATCCTTTGGATATATACTCAGTAATGGGATTCCTGGGTCAAATGGAATTTCTATTTCTAGGTCCTTGAGGAATCATCACACTGTGTCTTCCACAATGGTTGAACTAATTTACACTCCCACCAACAGTGTAAAAGTGTTCCTATTTCTCCACATCCTCTCCAGCATCTGCTGTCTCCCTATTTTTTAATGATCGCCATTCTAACTGGCACGAGGTGGAATCTCAATGTAGTTTTGATTTGCATTTCTCTAATGACCAGTGATGATTAGCTTTTTTTCATATGTTTGTTGGCCTCATGTATGTCTTCTTTTGTAAAGTGTCTGTTCATATCCTTTGCCCCCTCTTGAATGGCCTTGTTTGTTTTTTTCTTGTAAATCTGTTTTAGTTCTTCGTAAATTCTGGATATCAGCCCTTTGTCAGATGGGTAAACTGCAAAAATTTTTTCCCATTCTGTTGGTTGCCAATTCACCCTAATGACTGATTCTTTTGCCGTGGAGAAGCTGTGGAGTTTCATTAGGTCCCATTTGTCTATTTTGGCTTTTGTTGCCAATGCTTTTGGTGTTTTGGTCATGAAGTCCTTGCCTATGCCTATGTCCTGAATGGTTTTGCCTAGATTTTCTTCTAGAATTTTTATGGTGTTAGGTCTTATGCTTAAGTCTTTAATCCATCCGGAGTTAATGTTAGTGTAAGGTGTCAGGAAGGGGTCCAGTTTCTGCTTTCTGCACATGGCTAGCCAGTTTTCCCAACACCATTTATTAAACAGGGAATCCTTTCCTCGTTGCTTGTTTTTATCAGGTTTGTCAAAGATCAGATGGTTGTGGATATGTTGTGTTGCCTCCAAGGCCTCTGTTCTGTTTCATTGGTCTATATCTCTGTTTTGGTACCAGTATCATACTCTTTTGATTACTGTAGCCTTGTAGTATAGTTTGAAGTCTGGTAGTATGATGCCTCCTACTGTGTTCTTTTTGCTTAGAATTGACTTGGCTATGCGGGCTCTCTTTTGGTTCCATATGAAGTTTAAGGTGGGTTTTTCCAGTTCTGTAAAGAAGGTCATTGGTAGCTTGATGGGGATAGAGTTGAGTCTGTAAATTACTTTGGGCAGTATGGCCATTTTCACGATATTGATTCTTCCTAACCATGAACTTGGAATGTTTCTCCATCTGTTTGTATTCTCTCTGATTTCGTTGAGCAGTGGTTTGTAGTTTTCCTTGAAGAGGTCCTTTACATTCCCTGTTAGTTGTATTCCAAGGTATTTTATTCTCTTTGTAGCAGTTGTGATTAGCGGTTCATTCTTGATTTGGCTCTCTTTAGTCTCTTATTGGTGTGTAGGAATGCTTGTGATTTTTGCACATTGATTTTATATCCTGAGACTTTGCTGAAGTTGCTTATCAGTTTCAGGAGATTTTGGGCTGAGACAATGGGATCTTATAGATATACAATCATGTCGTCTGCAAATAGAGACAATTTGGCTTCCTCCTTTTCTATTTGAATACCCTTTATTTCTTTTTCTTGCCTGATTGCTCTGGCTAGAACTTCCAGTACTATATGAATAGAAGTGGTGAAAGAGGGCATCCTTGTCTAGTGCCAGATTTCAAAGGGAATGCTTCCAGTTTTTGCCCATTCAATATGATATTGGCTGTTGGTTTGTCATAAATAGCTTTTATTATTTTGAAATACGTTCCATCAATACCAAGTTTATTGAGGGTTTTTAGCATAAAGGGCTGTTGAATTTTGTCAAAGGCCTTCTCTGCATCAATTGAGATTCTCATGTGGTTTTTGTCTTTGGTTCTGTTTATGTGGTGAATTACGTTTATAGACTTGTGTATGTTGAACCAGCCTTGCATCCCTGGGATGAATCCTACTTGATCATGGTGGATAAGCTTTTTGATGTGCTGTTGCAATCGGCTTGCCAGTATTTTATGGAAGATTTTTGCGTGTATGTTCATCATGGATATTGGCCTGAAGTTTTCTTTTCTTGTTGAGTCTCTGCCAGGTTTTGGTATCAGGATGATGTTGGTCTCATAAAATGATTTGGGAAGGATTCCCTCTTTTTGGATTATTTGGAATAGTTTCAGAAGGAATGGAACCAGCTCCTCTCTGTGTGTCTGGCAGAATTCGGCTGTAACCCATCTGGATCTGGACTTTTTTTGTGTGGTAGGCTCTTAATTGCTGCCTCAACTTCAGATCTTGTTACTGGTGTGTTCAGGGTTTCGACTTCTTCCTGATTTAGGCTTGGGAGGAGGCAAGTGTCCAAGAATTTATCCATT